CATACCAAGTACGAGTACCGATACTTTCAGTCAGGTACTGGCCCATACCAAGTACGAGTACCGATACGTTCAGTCAGGTACTGGCCCATACCAAGTACGAGTACCGATACGTTCAGTCAAGTACTGGCCCATACCAAGTACGAGTACCGATATGTTCAGTCAAGTACTGGCCCATACCAAGTACGAGTAGCGATACGTTCAGTCAGGTACTGGCCCATACCAAGTACGAGTACCGATACGTTCAGTCAAGTACTGGCCCATACCAAGTACGAGTACCGATACGTTCAGTCAAGTACTGGCCCATACCAAGTACGAGTACCGATACGTTCAGTCAAGTACTGGCCGATGCCAAGTACCGATACCTTTTGCAGTGCGCTTTGAGCCCATATAAAATGAATAGGTTCAAATCACACTGCAAAGAATCGCATGTGATTTGACCAGGAATGCGGTGCGATTCTTGTCTGAATATCATGCATTTCTTCCGTGGGTGCAGTGCGATTTGCAGTGCAGATTGAGATAAAAAATGAATGGATCAAATCGCATCGCACCACCCCTGCAGAGAAACCGCATGTGATTTGGACAGGACTACATTCCAGTGCAAATCGCAGACAAAAAGGTTACTGGCTGCACTCTCTTCCTTTTTATTAACCACTTGTCCGCTGCCTGAAGATTTACCCCCCCCCCCTTCCTGACCAGGCCATTTTTTGCACTACTTTAACTGACAACTGCGCGGTCATGCAACGCTGCACCCAAATGCAATGTACGTCCTTTTTTTTTTTCTCCCCACAAATTGAGCTTTCTTTCGATGGTATTTGATCGCCTGTGCATTTTTTTTTTTTTTTTTGCACTAAAAAGGGCAATTTTGAAAACTATATTTTTGATTTTTTGCTATCAAACGTACAGTAAAATGTTTTTTTAAAACAAATTTCATCATAAATTTAGGCCAAAATGTATTCTGCTCCATGTCTCTGCTAAAAAAAAAAAAAAAAAATCCCGATACGTGTCAATTGGTTCATGTGAAAGTTTTAGTGTCTGCAAATGGCAGTATAGATACTGTAATTTAAAAAAATATATTTTTTCTAGTAATATCAGCGACTGACTTATAGCGGGACTGCGGCAGACATTCTGGCACTGGTGGGAATGGAACTAACTCATTGACATCCCCAGTGACACTAATACAGTGATCAGTGCTGAAAAAAAAAACGGAAAAAAAAAAAAACACTGGCACTGTACTAATGGCACTGGGCAGGATGCGATTAACATGAGGGGCAATCAAAGGGTTAACTGTGTTCTGTTTTACTTGTGTCTGTGCTTCACTGTAATCACACTGCTTTGGATGGCTGTGCTGTGCACAGCCATCCAAAGCAGTGTGCATGAGCTGACAGGGAGAACTGTATTGTTTACATACAGTTCTCCTCCCCGTCGGAGATGCTCGGCAATCACCGGGTGCTGGCAATTTAATCACTGGGTGGGACCCGGTGATTGACAGCCGAGGCCACTGATGGCGGTGTGGGTAGGGCGCACGCACGCACCCCCTATCTGAAAATGCAAAATCACGTGTGTGTATGTGTGTGTATGTATGTATATATATATATATATATTATACATACATACAGTCAGGTCCATAAATATTGGGACATTGACACAATTCTAACATTTGTGGCTCTATACACCACCGCAATGGATTTGAAATGAGACAAACAAGATGTGCTTTAACTGCAGACTGTCAGCTTTAATTTGAGGGTATTTACATCCAAATCAGGTGAACGGTGTAGGAATTACAACAGTTTGCATATGTGTCTCCCACTTGTTAAGGGACCAAAAGTAATGGGACAGAATAATAATCATAAATCAAACTTTCACTTTTTAATACTTGGTTGCAAATCCTTTGCAGTCAATTACAGCCTGAAGTGTGGAACGCATAGACATCACCAGACGCTGGGTTTCATCCCTGGTGATGCTCTGCCAGGCCTCTACTGCAACTGTCTTCAGTTCCTGCTTGTTCTTGGGGCATTTTCCCTTCAGTTTTGTCTTCAGCAAGTGAAATGCATGCTCAATCGGATTCAGGTCAGGTGATTGACTTGGCCATTGCATAACATTCCACTTCTTTCCCTTAAAAAACTCTTTGGTTGCTTTTGCAGTCTGCTTTGGGTCATTGTCCATCTGCACTGTGAAGCGGCCAATGAGTTGTGAAGCATTTGGCTGAATATGAGCAGATAATATTCCCGAAACACTTCAGAATTCATCCTGCTGCTTTTGTCAACAGTCACATCATCAATAAATACAAGAGAACCAGTTCCATTGGCAGCCATACATGCCCACGCCATGACACTACCACCACCATGCTTCACTGATGAGGTGGTATGCTTAGGATCATGAGCAGTTCCTTTCCTTCTCCATACTCTTCTCTTCCCATCACTCTGGTACAAGTTGATCTCGGTCTCATCTGTCCATAGGATGTTGTTCCAGAACTGTGAAGGCTTTTTTACATGTCGTTTGGCAAACTCTAATCTGGCCTTCCTGTTTTTGAGGCTCACCAATGGTTTACATCTTGTGGTGAACCCTCTGTATTCACTCTGGTGAAGTCTTCTCTTGATTGTTGACTTTGACACACATACACCTACCTCCTGGAGACTTGATCTGGCCAACTGTTGTGAAGGGTGTTTGCTTCACCAGGGAAAGAATCCTTCGGTCATCCACCACAGTTGTTTTCCGTGGTCTTCCGGGTCTTTTGGTGTTGCTGAGCTCACCGGTGCGTTCCTTCTTTTTAAGAATGTTCCAAACAGTTGTTTTGGCCACGCCTAATGTTTTTGCTATCTCTCTGATGGGTTTGTTTTGTTTTTTCAGCCTAATGATGGCTTGCTTCACTGATAGTGACAGCTCTTTGGATCTCATCTTGAGAGTTGACAGCAACAGATTCCAAATGCAAATAGCACACTTGAAATGAACTCTGGACCTTTTATCTGCTCATTGTAATTGGGATAATGAGGGAATAACACACACCTGGCCATGGAACAGCTGAGAAGCCAATTGTCCCATTACTTTTGGTCCCTGAACAAGTGGGAGGCACATATGCAAACTGTTGTAATTCCTACACCGTTCACCTGATTTGGATGTAAATACCCTCGAATTAAAGCTGACAGTCTGCAGTTAAAGCACATCTTGTTCATTTCATTTCAAATCCATTGTGGTGGTGTATAGAGCCAAAAATGTTAGAATTGTGTCCATGTCCCAATATTTATGGACCTGACTGTGTGTGTGTGTGTGTGTGTGTGTGTGTGTGTGTATATATATATATATATATATATATAATATAATTTTCCGCACCCGTGCCGCCCTGTAGCAGTATATCTGCTGTAGGGCGGTCGGGAAGCTGTTAAGTAAAACACAAGTACAGTTGCACTCACAATAGGAGGTGCGTACAGGCCAACGTATCATCCCAGGTATTGACGATAGGAGGTGTGTACGGGGGCGGCTCATCATCCCAGGTATTCACATCGCACTGTGAAAGCTCTCCTCTCCTCACTGCCTGGATGACAGTTTGGCCTCCGGCTCCATATACGCCTGTAACATTGGCCCAGGGTGCCTCCACACACACACTCCCACATGCAGAAAAATGGGATGTTCTGTAGTAAACTTGGCAGGTCTGATACATTGTTAGAGGTTTTATTTGAGTGCACAGGAAGTTACAAGGAAAATGCTTTTTGGCGGGATTAACAGGCATTTAATGCTTTTTGGGCTGAGAAACATGAAACAATGCAGCCACCATGTGTAATGACCAGTAAGATGCAGATCACATTTTTGTTCTTGGGTTTAGTTACACTCTCACTTGGTTGTAAACCTCAGACATGAAATATGCACAATGAATATCACTCTATAGTGTGTACTTCTGTATTGTGCTCCATGCATACTAGCGGTTTTTTTTTTTTTTTTGTTTTTTTTTTTTGTTTTTTAAGCTAGAAACTGTTATCAGCATTTTTTTCTACTCCTAGAAGCTAAAAAGTGTTCTATGTGTCCTATGTGCACATTACTTTAGGCTAGTAGCGTTTTTCAAGCTTCAGTGTTTAGGAGCAGAAAAAAAAAAAGTTTTTGTAGAGTTTTTCTGTCTGGGGAAAAAAAACAAAACAAAATCTAGAAAAAAAGCTGTTAGGAGCGTTTCTAGTTTTTTTTTTTTTCTGTGTTTTGAGCTTAGAAACAACACTTGGTCCTTTTTAAGGCTCCATGCACACCAGCATTTTTTATTTTTTTGGTCTGCTGCCTCGTTCCTCTACTTTCAGCACGAATCACAAGTTTTCCTGACACCAAGAGAAAAATGGTGACAGGGGAGGGACCTCCAGCAGATTGACAGCCTCAAGTCTATCCCTATGAGCTGTGTGGAAGGGGGGGGGGTCTCTTTCCTCCAATCAGCTCTTAGGCTGGCCATACATTATACAATTTTTTTGAGATTTTTGGTTTAGATTTACCAAAAACCATATAATAGGAGGTTAAACTTAAACAACACTTTCAACTGTATCCAATTAGGTAGGCCTGTGCACTATATAATTGAAGGTAAAGCTAAAGGAAATTGGACATAAAATTGCATAATGTACATCCTCGCTGAGCTCTGCAGTCTGTAACCCGAGCACCCTGCCCCCCCCCCCTTTTTTTTTTTTCTAAACGCACAGACGAGCTTTATAAATTCACTCTGAACGGATGTAGAGAAGACTGTAGGTAAACAGGTAGAACTTATGCAGGAGGATTAGTTGAATCTCCATGTATCACCGGAGGTCAGTCACTTCACTGGGTATATGGAAGGGTTTACAACCACTTTTATATAGGTAGGCTTCAAGAGACTCTTAAAAAAAAAAAAAAAAATACAAAAAAACCTGCTTTTCAATGTTGCATTTCGTAGGTGTATTTAAGGATTTTAAGTGGCAGTATCTCTCTTCAGTTTATATTTTTAAGCAATTCATGTCTTAACTTTTCTTGTTATCGATTAATAAAAACTGCTTTATTTGCAGGGTTTATTATCATCCCAAAACCAAGCGAATTCTCCAAGTGGAACTGTAGTATAGCCATCACACTACCGCTAGTGAAACATAAACACCACAAGACCAGACGTAATGACAGAGGAACCAGGAACTAATCTTCAACCACAGAGTATCAATTTAGAACAAAAAAAATGTCAGTTGTGGGATTCTATTTAAAAAAAAAAATAAAAAAATACTACAGAACACACAAAAATAAATTCTAACACCTTTAACTTGGTGGAGAAATTCCTTCTGCTTGGTTCTTAGTCTTGATGACTACTCACCCAAGAGTTCCTTGGCAAAACAATATGTGTATATATTATAAATATATAAAAACTTAGACGTTACAGTGAAATTAAATAGTACATTCATTCCTTCTTGCTTTATACTTTTCAACTTTAATGTAATTTAATCTTTATAAATATAATGTAAAAATAAAAGTGTTTATTGAAAACAAACCCCAGTAATTTTTAGATGGTTAAGAATTAATTCACCATTGTGTGTATTGCACTGATTTTTTTTTTTTTTCTTTTTTCTTTTTTTTTTTAATATTATAACCTACAAAGGTTAGCTGAGCGTCTGGAATGCACTTGATATGAAAGCAAGTCATGATGTTGACTTGAACCGTAATTCAGGAAGATGAATTTTTTTTTTTTTTCCATTTTTTCAATTAAAAAAGAAAATGTTTGCACTTACGATAGTTAAATTCGAGTTAAAAATTATTTTGGGTGTACAAAAAAATTCCCAGGAAAAAAAAAAAAGGAAACTTGTTGTGAAGATAAATATCCTTTGTACCTATTAAACATTTATTTTAATATTGTGGTTTCTAATGCCTATGTATTATATGTATAAATAATGTAATTCAGTGCTGGGCTTCAAAGGGGTTTGATCATTACAACTAGTCATTTCCATTATTTGAAAATAGTGATTTCTAATTAAAAAATACATATTAATATTAAAATTCAGTCTTTGTTTTATTGGTCAGATGATATTTTGCTGTGCTGGCAGATGTATTTTTATTGTTGCGGTCGTTCGCAATACAGCTTCAAAGGTATTCTGACAGATCCAATCAAAACCTAAGATTTAAAGCTGTTGATGGAGGGGCAGAGAAATCACGACAGAGCTCTACCGTTAAGTCATCGACCACAATAAAGGGTCCAGATTTTAGAATTTCTAGTTTAAATAATAAACAAAATACAATCATTTCAGTGGGCAATGATTACAATTGTGTTCTCTTTTTCAGCTTGTCTTAAATTTAACAGCAAAATGATTTTTCAGATTTGGCCGCATCACTTCCAGAACGTAAAGCGCACCCCGCACCAAGAAATATGGGTAGGGGGGTGCATTTGAAATTATGAAATAAACATTAAAAATGGGAAATTTGTCTCACATACATGAGATCCCATTTTATTTTATTCTCATTTTAATACTTTTTAAGGTTTGTAAATGTCAGACATTTAATAATAAAAGGTGTGTAAATATAGTCCAATCAAAGAAAATAGTTTGTAGTAAGGGGGGAGTTTTGTTTTTCTTTAAAATATGGAAGCTTTTTTTTTTGTGTGAGATTGTCAGCCTCACCCGTCACTACTTAAAGCAGACCTCCAGGCAATTCTTTTTTTTCTTTCCTTTTCTCCTTTTCTCCCTCCCCCCCTGCCTTTCTTGATGCAGGTTTTGAGCATTTCAGATACTCCCCTGCCCAGAGGATCCAGCAGTGTCCTGTAAAATCCTCTTGGAATTTTGCCGTGTTTGGTCCCGCACCTCCATCTTCTTATGACGTCATTGTGAGGCCCGCTGGCTTCTGGATTTTGTTACTGCCCCCCCCCCCTTTATCAGTGGAGCACTATGCCTTCTGGGATATGTGACCAGCGTGTCCCAGGAGGCAGAAGAAGGACCACGTGCGCCGTTTGCCTAGGCAAGTTGCCATGCACTAAGGGCTGGGGCCAGACTTTCCCGAAATAAAATGCAAAGAAACAAAGTGTGCTTCCCGTGTACAGGAGAGGAGGAAACCTGCCTATGAGGGTGGGGATCTGCTTTACTGCATGCTCTTGAACAAGTATGTATGCAGGTTGAGGGATGCTGAATCAAGTAGCAGAAGGAAGATGTGGTTATGGTTTTTATATCTCCCCCCAACAGGAACGACCTTCCATACAAGAGATGGCTACAAAAATGTATGACAACTGCCATGGGGTGCTGCTTAGCTGGCATTTCCTGCATGCAGTTTCCTTTCATGCCACGTGTATAAATCAGTGGCAGCTTGGGTTGCAATTGTCCAGGGCATCTCTGATGTGTTTGACATAACAGGCAACCTTCTCTTGTCAAAGCTTTCAAAGAAGGCACTGTACAGCTTGGCAGTGCCACATGAAGTTAATGAGCCCAATGCCAGGGGTTAGGCCGGTCCTGTCTTTGATGCTTAATTAAAATTTTATATATATATATATATATATATATATATATGTTTTTTTTTATTAGCAGCATTATATATATATATATATATATATATATATTTGTTTATTTTTTTTTTTTTTTTTTATTAAGCATTATATATATATTTGTTTATTTTTTGTTTTTTTATTAAGCATTATATATATATTTGTTTATTTTTTTGTTTTTTTATTAAGCATCATTTATTTATATATATATATATATATATATATATATATATATATATAAATAAATATATAAAACGCTTAATTAAAAAAAACATTTTTATTACACATTTATTTATCCTGTCTTTGATGCTTAATTAAAATTTTATATATATATAATATATTTGTTTATTTTTTGTTTTTTTTATTAAGCATCATTTTTTTATTTTTATTTATATATATATATATTTAATTAAAAAAAATTTATTACACATTTATTTCCTAATAGTGTTTTCTATGCTCTGCCCTGCTGCTGCTAGATGGGACCGTTTTTTATAGTACTGGTATATAGTATTCAGGCTCACACCCTGTCCAGCTGCTTTTAGTGCACTACAGTATGCAATTTTGTGATGGAATTGACCATTCTATAGTAAACTTTCTTGGACATGACCAATCACTGTGGCACTTTATATCGCTGTAATTTATCTGTTCAATAATTCTCTATCAGTTTCCATGTTCTATACACATCTGGATTCAATTGTTTGTAAATCTGGCCTAGAATTTAAATGTAAATTGGGAAAAAAAAAATTTAATTTGATCTGTGTGCATGTTTGAAATTGTCTTGATGTAACATTAGATCAGTAGGGAAATTTAACATTTCTACACGCAGCCAGCTGGCTATGGCACATAAACGGTTTTAACTACTGGCGTCCTGGTGGGTTAATGCTTCTGTGGATTATTAAATTGACAAGTTAGAGTCAAGATGTATCCGGTTCTTCAGTTTGGCATATTTAAAGACACGGAGATTTCTTGCAGACGTAAACATTGAAAATATAAAGGGTTTTTTTTTGGTTTTTTTTTTTATTTTGTTTGTTTTTTTTTTCTGGTTCAAACAATCTTTCCTACTAGAATATTTCATTGCACATCAGTGATACAATGTTGAATTCTTTTTGCTGTTAAAGCATATTACAATTGAGATGGATGATCACGAAGCAATGAACTGTGAGAGATATGACAACATTATATAATGGAGAATGTTAATGGAATTAGATAAAACACTCTAGTTAAAAAGGATGTCAATACTTTTACGTTTTTCATTTAATTGAAAAATTAATTTAAAAACATTTACAGTCTGTGTGTATATATAAAAAAAAGTAATTTTAAAACACCCAAATGGAATTTAAGGAGTTGCCTCCATGATGATAAGTTTGAGTAAAATCGATTACATTTTTGTATTTCCATACCATATGAATACGCACTTTACAATGGAACACTTAGACCTGTGTGCACAAATATTTAATTAACCACTTCAATACCGGGCCATTTCACCCCCTTCCTGCCCAGGCCCATTTCCAACTTTCAGTGCTGTTGCACTTTGACAGTTGTGCAGTCATTCAACACTGTACCTAAACTAAACTTTTATCATACAGATAAAGTTTTTTTTTTTTTGTGATATTTAATCACCGCTGGGTCTGTTTTTTTGCTAAACAAATAAAAAAAAATTTGAGGGGAAAAAAATAAAACTTTCACTTCTGTTATCAAATTTAGCAAATAAGTAACTTTTTTCACTGATCATATGTCACTGATAGTGCCCTGATTATCAGTGTAAACGTGATATGGTTATCAGCTTTCCTTTCCTCAGACAGTGACTGCACCGAGGAAAGGAAATGCTGACAACTGGCATTTGTATACATGTGATCAGCTGTGATTGGACACAGCTGATCACATGGTAAAGAGCTCTTTACCCTGATTGGTGATGTGCTGTGTCCGAGGGACACAGATCACTGCGTACCAAGAACAAGAGAGGCCCCGCCTTCATTCTGCAGTAGGTCAGGCGGGAACCTGTTAAACTGTTGCACTAAATAGTACCCAGGGACCCCCCTGCAAAGAAGAAAACTTTTCTTACTCACTATTGGTCAGGGAGGCAGCCCACCACAGTGATATGCCAATAGTGAGGGGTGGGCTCACAGCTCATGATTACACTAGCTTAGTTGGTCAGATCTCTGAAACTTGGATGCCCTGATGTTAAAAAAAAAAAAAAAAAAAGCAAAATTGGGCAAAGAGCACCTTTTTTGATTTTGTAGGAGGTGCTGTAAGGGGGTGCATAGGAACTGACCTGCTCTAACCATAGCACTGAAAGCCTGAGTACGAAGGCCCATGCTTTGATCATGCCTCATCCTGCTTACAGGTAGAATCTATTTGGGGGGTTTTATTCTCACAAACCGGCATTTATGTAGAACTGAAGCCTTTACATGTATTTGTACTCACAGGTTTTGCTTTTAAAATGTTTTTTTTTGTTCTTTGGGATGGCAAGTCCCCCCAAAAAAGTAGCAAGCTCTCTTCTACAATGTCCACTCCTCTTCACCAAAGGCACTGTAAGCAGTTTTTTTTTTTTTTTTTTTTTTTTTTTTTTTAAGTTCCGCTTGTACTATAAGATCAAAGACCCCCTCCTTTTCTGTC